TCTGGCCTGTACCCCAGTTCTGTATGCACAAATAAAGAAATCTTAAAAAAAAAAAAAAAAAAGCTTCTAACCCAGTATGGGAGGGAACATTGAGTTCTTGGTTTAGAGGACTTATTGGAAGATAAATTTTATTCAAATATACTGAAATTTTAAATTTTATTGCCTAGGTTGAACTAGGATTACATGGAGTGATTCTATATATTGTGGATGCCACCAACAAAATTCTTCAATAGTAGGTCAGTTAAAAACTTCCAATTCTGCCCTGCTAGTGAATATTATTTTCCCAAGGGTCTGAATATTATTGTCACAGAATTTGAAAACCTCAGATTGATCCTTATCTTTTTCCTCTGATTCTATCATCTTCATTGATCATAAACACTTATAAACAGAGATTCTGACACACCATTTCACTCAATCCCTAATTCTACAGCACCTCACTGGTGGCACAGGAGTTAAGTCTCAGCACTATTAAGCTATTAGCAGCCACTGCAGCATGAGTTCAGTCCCCAGCCAGGAAGGTAACCCACATGGCATAGCCTATCTCTCCTGTCTATCAGATCCACCTGTTCTGCTCTCTTCTCTGTCTTTGGTGAATTCTCTCAGTTTCCTGCACCTAAGGCCTATACCTCAGCTCTTGAATAAATAAAATAAATTTAAGAATAAAAAAGATCATGACTAAAAACAACCCTCCCACCCCAACTCTACAGATGAGTAGTCAGGGTTATAAAAGCAAAACAGAGACCAGAATCTAGTCTTCCAACTTCCATCTTTATGCCAGAGCTTCCCTACCCTATCTTCTCTACCCACTTCACTCCAATCCCTGCCAAATATAGGAAGAAATAATCACAACTGGAAATTTAACTTCAAATGCTCAGCCAGTTGTCCAACTTTTTTTAAATAATAAATTTCTGAATATGGTAGTTACTTTGCAACCAAGATATATGAAATAGGGCTGTTCAGTAACCCTATTTCAGATACTGTTTAAACTGTACAGAAAATAGTTTAGATAGCATGCACATAGTAGGTGTCAGGTAACACTTTACTGATAAATATAATGTACATTTTTGGACTTGTTTGTTTTTTCTCTTTCATCTACAGATTTTTAGGACCCAGGAAAAAAATCCAGACATAAAATAGTCCTGGACTTTAAAAAAAAAAGACACATTTTCAAATAAACCTGGGAAATATTTTATTTTATTTCCTACTTCTTAGGAAGTCAGAAATCACATTTGCATAATAAAGGTGTTGCTAGTTATTGAAGAATGATAGGTACCTTTCTTTAATTAATTATTTTCAGTAATTATTTGATCTTGTAACCTTCCCACCCTATCTATAAATACCACCATGGAAATTTGAGAGAACACATTTTAGAGGAACTCTAGTCTTTACCAATGTTAGCTTTTGGAGACAAGGTAAATAAGAAACTGAAATAGCATATTTATAATGCAGTCAATGGAAAATGTCAGCTGCTGTAGTAAAGAATCACATAAATCAAAATCATAACATATATTCTAATTCTATTTTGAAAACAAGGCAGTTTCTTTGAACAATCTATACAAATTTTAACCAAAAATATGATCGTTTTCCAGGCTGAAATGTACTCTTTACTCTCCTATTTTTAAGTCAGAAATGTTTCAGAACACATGGCAGCATAAATACCACCGGTTCTTTTTTGCTGCTTTTTCTAGTTGCATGACACATATTCTCACACACTGGTTATAATACTCACCTAACTTGTAATT